CGATGGATCAACAACGAACCGGGCTACGATATCATCGTGGCCACAACAGCGTTCGGGATGGGCATCGACAAGGAGAATGTGCGATTTGTTGTTCACTGGCGCATCCCCAAGTCTTTTGAGGGATATTACCAAGAAGCAGGTCGCGCGGGTCGCGATGGTAATGCAAGCTATTGCTTCCTATACTACAGCCGGGAGGACTTGGAGAGGGTAATGCGAATGGTACGGAGTGATGGCAAGAACAATCCCAATTCAATGGCAAGGTTACGCAGCCTGGAGGCCTTGGCGGTGTACTGCGAGAACACCAGTTCGTGCCGACATGCCCAAATCTGTACATATTTTGGCGCAACGTCCGAAACGAAATGCGACTTCGCATGCGACTGGCACAAGGACGCGCATGACTTGGAAACTCGATTTCTAACAGGACTTGCGAGTTCGGACTGGGTCAGTACCCAAGCCATGCAAGGTACTTATGACGGCCATGACGGCGACCAGGACGTGTAATGATCTGATAGAGTAGGCATAATCATAGACTGCATTTGCGAAAGTAATGATGACTTCAAAAGGAAAGATCCATGCCGATCGCAACCGAGAGCTTGCGTGGCGACCTGGTAACCGTATCGTAGGTACATGATGGTGACTCACCAAGCGGTTTGTCAAAAAGCCGCGATGAACTTGGTCTTGCTTGTATTATCGTTACAAGTGTTCACTCGGACAGGATCGGATTTCACTCGAGCGAACCCATGATGGGACGAGCCAGAACCCGGTCTGCTCACGACCCGGCTGGGCAAACAACTCGAGCATAATCACATGACAACTGTGCGTGCCGGTTGGGCAAGCGGCAAGCTTCCAGAATGACTAATCCGTGTTACGATGGCCGCACATTATTATCAGGGATTTTCCGAGTTCGGCGGGCACACAAAAAACTGACGAGTCGTCAAGTTTTTCCAATTCTCAGTGCTTCTTGGCATCCTTGTCCGCCTTCTTCTTGGCAATGACGCTGTCGAACCTCTTGAAAGCCATGAATCCTTCAAAGAAACAACTGACGATCCACATCCACCACTGGCCCGACCACCTGTCGACGCCATGCTTCTGCAACCTCGACAGGTCCAGATACAGGGGCTCAAGAGTATGAATGCCAAGCACGGGGAGGATGAGCGCCTTGACCAGCCAGCGGAAACTCTCGGGCCCGCCGGGGAAGTACGCGGCCAGGAGAGCCCACGGCGGCGAGCCGGGCACAATCCACGGCAGGCTGGCGACGCAGAGGAAGTAGAAGCCGACGCCGAGCATGACGGCGACATCGGCGAGCCCGGGAGCCTGGTACCTGGCCATGCAGATGTCGCTTATGCCGAGGCTCTCGCGGGCAGCTGCGTCCATCTCGACGACGCGCGGGCGGACGTCGTCCCAGGACGACAAGGGGGGCTTGAAGTGGACGACGTGGTCGGCGCCTCCTGCGCGGATCCGCATCCCCTGGAGGGTGATGTCGCGGAGAGAGGCACCGGCGGCTTGTCGTCTCGTGAGGCCGCAGTAGTGACGGAGGTAGTGGGTGAGTTCGCGTGAGTGCAGCTGGTTCATGTGTGACATGATGCGGTCCCGGAGGACTTGGTCGCCTCCAGTTTTGGCGGCCATTGTGCAAGCGACGAGGGGTTGTGGTTGTGGCGTTTTCTCCTTGCTCTTCTCAGGGCTGTTGTGTGCATGTAGCTTGTTGGGACGGGGGGGAAATGGTTGGGATCGAGGTTTTTTGAATTGGAAAAGTTGTTGATGTGATGCGTGACCCGACGGGGCGACTGGGTGGCGCCGATGCCGCCTGCTGGGCTGCCATATACGTGCATGCGGTTGCTATTGACTATTGGTCTGTCACAGGCTTGCTTACTTTTCGTACCTCGGACGTCCGAGTCCAACGCGCTGAGTCAGCGCACAGCCGACTCTTACATACACATAACGTCTCTGTCTTTTGCTCCACTTCTCTCGGACTTCCGCTCGGTTTTTATCCCAACTGGGCCAGAGGCGAATTTGCTCGTCCATTCTCAGATCAGATTGATAAGAATTCCCTTATTTTTGGCGGAGGAAATACAAGCGCACAACACCCACCCCTTCCCTCGATGAGCAATCAGCCCTTCCTCGATGAACTTGATGAACTGCCATGACTGAGAGAAGCTCAAGCCCGGAGTCCGATGGAGGCTCGCGCTCCCACGGCGACGGCGACCATCCACCAGCGCGCAAGAGACAGCGCGTCCGCCTGAGCTGTCTCGAATGTCGGCGCCGGAAGCTCTCATGCGACAGAGGCTTCCCGTGCGAGCGCTGCATCAAAAGTGGCACCCCGGACCGGTGCAGTTATGAGTCCCGCAACGGAGAGGTCGTCAATGCATGTGCATCGTCTGGCATCCCGCCGCCTTTTGCGCAACTGGATTCACGCAGATTCGGCATCGGCATCGGCGTCGGCGCCGGCGCCGGCGATGGCGCCTCCGGCGGCCTCTCTTCTCGAGAAGACCACGACAGAATTCGAAGACTGGAACTGGAGCTCAACCAGCTCAAGAACCTGCTCACCCGACCTGGCGGGGGGGCGCGGGGCTCGTTCGACGGCAGTACTGTCGCGGCAACCGACTCGCCGTCCAACAGGAGCAGGAGGGATGTGAACTTGACTGAACTTGACGGGCAGCCGCGTCTGGATGTGCAGGAGTGCATCGATGCCACGACGGTGGCGGCGGGTGAGAAGGGCGAACTCCGATTCTTCCGGGGCAAGGGGTTTCGCACGCGGTATTTCGGTCCGCACAACGCGAGCATGGCCTTTGTCGAGCTGACGGGGCTGTGTCCGTTCATGAGGGAGACGGCAGATGAGTGGCTCCGTCCAGTCATCCTGCATGACCGTAAGGACCGTAAGGACCGCAAAGACCGCAAGGACCGCAAGCGTCGTGCCGAGGACCGTGATGCCATCTCGGAGAAGCAGGACCCCGAACTGGAGGCTCTCTTACCGGCCAGGGAGGAAGGCGACGCTCTCGTCTCCGTCTATCTGGACCAGTTCGAGCAAATCCACCGCATCGTCCACATCCCCACGTTCCGCAACGAGTACGCCGAGTTCTGGAGGCCCGGCAGCAAGAATCGACATGCCGCCTTCACAGCCCTCGTCTTGGCCATGATGGCCGTGGCCAGCTGCGCTCACAACCGCGACAGCCCCAGGTTCATCGGCATGATGTCCAACGCTCGACACTGGGCGGAGAGATGGATCAACTCGTGCGACCTGTGGCTGTCCGGGCAGAGCCAGAAGCATCGCAGGCTCATTCATTTCCAGATCGCATGCCTGCTCTACCTCGGCAAGCGGGTCAACACGATCAAGAAGAAGAGGTTCTGGACCAGCTCGGGCGCCCTCGTTCAAGACGGCATCTCGGTCGGTCTCCATCGAGAACCCAGCCACATGGGAGGCGGGAAAATCACCGTCTACAACCAAGAAATGCGACGACGAATCTGGACCACGATGCAGGAGTTCGACATGCAGGCCTCGTTCGACCACGGCCTGCCCACGCTGCTCAGCCAACTCCACTACGACACCAACCCTCCCAGGAACCTGGACGATGAGGACTTCGACGAGGCCACCACCACCAGCCTGCCGCCGCCCAAGCCAGCCGAGGAGTACACGTTCTGCTCGTTCCAGAACCTGACGCGCCGGAGTCTGCCCCTGAGACTGGAGCTCAGCCGGCTCCTGACGGGGCCCATGGCGGCGGAAATCGACTACGACCAGGCCATCCGCTTCACCAACGACCTGACGCACGAGATTGACGCCCTGCCGTCGTGGGACATGAAGAACCTCCAAGGCGGCGGCGGGGAGAAGAAGAACCCCCTCATCGCCTACACGCTGCTCCACGTGCAGCTGCGGCAGTACATGATCCCCCTCCACCAGCCGTACCTGAAGCTGCGCAGGCAGAACTCCAAGTATCAGTACTCGGAAATCATCTACTACAACGCCGCCCGCGACATCGTCCTGCTCCACGACAAGCTCCACGAGCAAGGCGTCCGCTCGCTCAACTTCCTGCGGGAGGACGCCCTGACGACGGCCATCAACCTATGCAGCGTGACGATGCTGCAGCCCCGGGGTTCCACCAACATGATCATGATCAACTCGCATCACACGCTGAAGCTCATCGAGAAGTGCATAGCGATGAAGGAGGATCGCCTGCTGAGATGCGGCAACAACGAGCCCTGGGGCTACTCCATCATGTGCGCCGCCCTCGGCCTGCTCGAGGCACACCTGGGCACCAAGACGGCAGAGGTGGCCAAGTCGACGTCGGCCGAGAGATTCGTCAACCTTCACTACAGGCTGCTTGCCAACCAGGAGCCGCCGCCGCCGCCGGCGGCCGTCACGCCCATCATCGGGCTGGACAACGTGCCGGACCGGTCCAATTCTGCCACGCCATTCATCCTCCCGCCATCATCCCTACCAACAACAACAACAACAACAACAACCGCCGCCCCCGTGGACCCAGCCGCTGCCCCGGCCACGGCCTGGATGTTCGGCGCAGGAGACCAGGCGCAGCCGTTCAACATGGATCCGAGCCTAGAGCTTCTTGGCCTGAATCTGAACGAGCTCTGGGGTGAATCGTGGGAGCTGGGCTAGACCGGGTGGTCCTGCATCCCAAATGTCCCCCTTCTTTTCTCTCTTCTTTTTTCTTTTCTGTGTGTGGTTCAAGCAAGCTCTACATTCAGCAAAAAAAAGGGGGGGGGGGGCAATATGCGAAGAGCGCTAATGACCAAATTTTGTGACTGGAGGGGAATGAATGCATGGCAACGTTTTGATGCCTTTTGATTTCGAGCTCCAAAATTCGGTATTGGTGTAATATCCGTGTGAACAAATGAAAATCGTTAAAACCAGAAAGGCCCGCCTGGCACCACAAAGTGGATATATCTTGGTCCCTCTGACTCACTCCCCCTGACTCGAGCCATCATATCCGCCAAAACGTGAAGAAGCCCTTTTCTACCACATTTGCTTGCAAAATTTTCAACGGAATCCAAGCAATTTGGCGCAGTGGAAGCGCGGTTAGTACCAGCCCGATAATTGATCTCAAACATCCAAACCCCATCAAAACTAACAATGTAATAGCCGGGCTCATAACCCGGAGGTCGCACGATCGAAACGTGCAATTGCTAATCCTCTACTTTTTGCACTTTGGCAATCCCAACATGGTGCTTCTTTCTATTTCTGTTTTCTTATTTCATTTCCTTTTAACCTATGTATAGCTACTGGAATGTGCTGTCATGTCATCTGTGGGGGTTTTTTTTTTTTTTGACAAGCCTTGTGATTGCTTGTGCGTGATTGGGTGACGACGCCCCCGGTTGTTGCTCTTGTTCACTTCTTGTCCGTTCACAGAAGAGAAGAGGAAACTTGGATTTGAACAAAGCGGTGTGTTGACTCCTGACTTTCCGAACATTGCCTACTCGGCTTGCCGCTCAGGTTGTCTAGTTGAGAGAGACCTCGCGTTCCCCCCGTCTGCACAATAGTAAGTGACGAAACGAAATACCAGTCCAGTATAACAACTCCTGACCCTCTCTCTGGTGAATAGATGTTTGCTTTATTCACCGAAGTAACACGCAGGCATACACCGACAATGTCGGGAGCCGAATGAGACCATGCGTGCGTGATTCAGCTTCCCCCCCCCCCCCCATGTCGCTGCAGTTTCTGTCGAGTTTTGCGTCTTCCCGTCTGTTTTTGTTGCACAGAGCCCACCAGACCGGGCCCGTTCCAGGCGACAATTTGTATAACCTGCCAGGCAGGTTCACGGTCAAGACGATGTGCGTATCACCAGACGGTCTCGATGGGGAGAAAAAAAAAAAACGAGACTCTGGCGTGCAAAGTCGCTTGCTGCACGACAGGTGACAAGGTTGTCTCTCGGAAACTTGGCTCGGACAAGTTGAGCGTTGATACTACGTCTCCGGAGCCTCGTCTTCAATCTCTGAAATCAACCGGAGGGGAACCAGAAAGTATATAAACCAGCAACGTTTCCGGCCACGACAAAAAAAAAAAAAACCCTTTGGGCAAAACCAAACACTAAATAACATTCCTGACTTGACCACTTCGTTTCCCAGATCCCCCCCTTTTTCCGCATCGCATCATCAGTTCAAATTCAACCCAAATCACTCCCCAACATGCCTGAACATAAGATGAGCAAAGCGGATGCCTCGAGAATCCAGAGCGGACAGGTACGTGCTGTTGCGCCGTAGTCCCCGATTTCGACTTCTTCAACTAAACACAGAACCATAGGCGAGAAACGGGGGAGACATGTCCTCCAGTGGCTTTGCATCTCGGGCTCAAGCTGCGGGAGATCGCAACGCCCAGGCTTCTGGCAATGGCAATGGCAATGGCAATGGCAATGGTGGCACGAAGACGGATGCCGGGGCTGGCGCCGGTGGGAAGAAGTAGGCGCAAGTTGTCGATTGCTGCATTGTTGCTCGCGCTTGTTCTAGCCTTCTCGATGTAATCAATGTAGTTATTGTGCCCGACAGGAGCAACCCTCTCGTCGTCGTCTGTCTCGCCTTTCGCCACGTGTCTCTTGACGATGAGTGAGGAGAGACCAGTGATTCCACATTGGCCCATGTCTTTTCAATTCTTTGCATCCCCCCCTGCCTTGCTAAATAAAATGGGCTAGCTCTGGTTTATTTCATTTTTTTTCCTCTTCAGGTCTAGTGCTTCTTTACCAAGCTTGGCCAATGCATCCTCGTATCCCTTCATCTTTTCCTCGCTCATCTCGTCTATTCTCGGTCTTTCCACCTTTTGTGCTCTCCTGATGCCTTGGTTCTTGGCGATCTTGCCCCAGAACCATCCGCTCTCGTCATCGTCAACCAGTGTCCATGCACAGCCCGTTCGTCCTGCACGAGCCGTTCGGCCAACACGGTGCACATAGCCTGCTACGCTGGCAGGCAAATCGTAGTTGATTACGTGTCCCAGCTTCGGAATGTCGATACCTCGAGCCACCAGGTCGGAAGCGATGATGAGACGAACGGGCGAAGAAGACGTGGTGAATGCCCGGAGAATCTTTCGTCGAATGTGAGTAGGTGTAGTAGAGGTCAATGTGCTGACCTGCGTTTCGAGTGAGGCATCCAATAACGTGAGAAGACGAGACAATCGGAGCGCATGTTCGTTGGATTTAGTAAAGATCAGGGAGATGGGTAGTTGTGATTTTGATGCCGCGGACATCTTGGTTCCATCGTCACCTTCTGAAGAATCATCAGAGTCGGAGGCGCTCGTGTCCGAAGAATCTGAGCTGCCATCTGACTCGTCAGAACATGTATCTGAACTGTCATCAGACGAGCCATGGTCATTTTCTTCCAGTGCTGAAGAAAAGTCTCTATTCGTAGTGCCCGCCTTCATGTGAGGACCTCGTAAAAGATCAAGTAGGTACAGCGGCTTGAGATTCGCCTCGTGTACTCGCACCGCATATTCCCGCAATGTCGCAGGTAATGTGTGCTCGGCAACCTGGACGCTTGCATCGTTCTCAAGAACTATTAATTGGGGTCTTCTCAAGGCCAGCTGATTCAAAAGACTCAAGTCCCTGGTCAGCGTGGCACTGAGAATCACTTTTCGAACGCCGGAATACGCCATGTCAGGGAAGTCGCGGGCGCTGAACTTGCCGGTCTGGAATTTATCTAGTACCAGCTCTAACCACCCCTGGAAGCTTTGCGCCAGGAGCTTATCGGCTTCGTCCACAACCAGCCAGCGGACGTAATCGAGGTTGAATCCGGGCGTTTGCTCGATATGCTCTACCAGTCGGCCTGGGGTGCAGATGAGTACATCCACTTTGGACGTGAAATCGACGACTTCGCCTTTCCAGGCGCCGAGACGAGGGTCGCCAACGGCAAAATCAAGGTCAATCGCATCGTCTATATCGGCTGACATGGGCCCGCTCGCTCGCTGTTGTCTGTCCTCTTCTTGTATTCTTTGGTAAGCGTCCGGGTCGTAGCGTGAGTCGCGGTCGACAAGGGCCTCTTGTTCCGACTTTATCGACTGACTGCCAATGGCGACTCCGACGCGAACTCGTTTCCGGCCCTCGCCTTCGTATGCCTTGGCGCAGATTTCGAACGCCTCTTGCGCTTGCTTGACCAGCTCTCTGGTCGGAAGCACAACCAGAGCTCTCAGCCTTGTCACCACGCCCTGGCTGATGTCGCGGACGATCGGTAAGGCGTATGCAAGGGTCTTGCCGGATCCCGTGGCCGCGGACACCAATACATCGCCGGCGCGATGTTTGCTTGTAGGGAGCAGCAGAGGTATCGCAGCGGTCTGAACGGCGAAGCCTTCCGAGTATCCCTTTTCAGCTAGGATGCGGGACGCGCGCTGTGGGATTCCCAGGTCTGTGAACGGTCTTCGGGTGTCCTGGGAGACTCGTAAGGGAGCAGAGAGCCACGTGGGTAGTGTGTCGTACGTGGGCTTGAACTCGTCGTCTGGTAGCACGGCAGGTTGGGGCAATGGCTCCAGGGCATGCACTTCCACCGATTCCCCGTCAGAGTCACTGCCTTGGTCTTTGGCGACTTCGTTTGCCAGCTGGATCGATTTGGACTTTCGTTGTAAAATGGCCTTGTGTCGTGTCGATGCCTCGTCGTCCACCTCAATCCTTCCCTCTGGCGTAACTTGTTTGCCTGGCTTCTTTTTCTTATCCCGTTTGGGCTTCTTTTCTTTCGCTGGCAACTCGGGTTCCGGCTGCGTACTCGTAGTCGGCGCTTCATCCACGTCCATGTCGCCATTTGAGTTTTCGTCAACGTTTACAGAAGTATATTGACCTTCCATGACCGTATCTTTTTCCTCTTCAACCGTCGGCCCGTGCTCGATTTGCTTGTGTCGTGGTGATTTTGACGGCGCCTTCCCGCGTACTTGTGAATCGTCAGAGTCAGAGGCAGAGTCGTCCGCCGTCCGTGTTCGTTGTTTGCGCTTCCTCCTGTTCTTCTTCTTCCTCTCGACCGACTGTTCATTTGAGGTCGACTCGCCCCCTTTTGTGAAGACATTCCTCTCCATGGATTCCGTCTTCCCTTTCCTCAGCTTCTTGGTAGCCGATTGCGGCTCGTTTGCAGACTCCCTTTTCCGCTTCGAATTGACCGATCCAGGTTCATCGTCGAAGAATTGGATCGGCTTTGGATCAGGTGCAACTGCAGTAGTCGTCTTCGCCTTGGCAGCCGGAACATAGCGTGTATAGCTGAATGCTTCTACCAAATTTGGCTTGATCACATCCACCTTGGTCGCAGACTCCGACGGCTTGCGCTGTGGTGTGGCCGCCGCCGGTGACTGAGCGGCAGCCGGGGTTTTCGAGCCCTTTGACGGAGGCACGTACCTCGCGTACATACTGGCGTCCCAATTGCTCGTCCGAGTGAGCAACGACAGGTGGAGATGGATTTCCGATTGAAGTTTTTCTCCCAACGGCCCAACGGGACAAAGGCGCCTGGAGCCAGCCAATGCCGCCATGGCCCCAGAAATTTAGGCGGTCGCACGGCTTATCGGCGTTTTGCCTCTGCCTACCGCCCAGCTTATCGAACAACCCTTTCTGCCGCCCCCCCCCCCCCTTTCCCTTGCTTGCATCATAGCTCCTCCAGCTAACTCGGCTCGCGGCTAGTTTGGCCGCCCCCCCAAGGCCTGCCAGGCGGGAAGAGTTGATCAATCTTCAACAACTCCAACTCCAACTGCACAGCACTGATACGAGTCGTCATCGACAAGATTAGAGCAAGAAACCACAGTCAAGGCCATGTCGAACCCCAGTGCAATCTCATAGCCCCCGCCCCATTCAGTCGCCAAAATGACGCGTCGGCGGTACAACATCGCCATGGTCAGCGACTTCTTCTTCCCACAACCCGGAGGCATCGAATCGCACATTTACCAGCTCTCCAGCAAGCTCATCGACCGAGGCCACAAGGTCATCATCATTACGCACTCGCATGACGACAGAAAAGGTGTGCGCTATCTCACCAATGGGTTGAAAGTGTACCATGTGCCCTTTCTCGTCATCTACCGACAGGCTACGTTCCCTACGGTTTTCTCCTTCTTCCCCATCCTGCGATACATCTTCATCCGAGAGCGTATCGAGATAGTTCACGGTCACGGTAGCCTGAGCTGTCTTTGCCATGAGGGCATACTCCATGCGCGAACAATGGGGTTGAGGACGGTATTCACA